TTTTTTTGCCTCTCAAATTCTTTCATCTTTCAGAACCTACCTACCACTACTCCTAAGGGTATACAGGGGACCCCTGCAAGCATAGCTATCTACCTCTCTTGGTGAAGGGAAGTTACCTCTCTCGGTGGAGGGAGGTAATTGCCTGTTTGCCCCTTGCCCAAGTGATTTAGGGTGCAGGGTTGAGCCTGGCAGTGGGGGCCCAGCTAACACAAGGACTCAGCATTTGCCAGTAGCTGTGCCTCCCTCTCGGTGGACGGAGGTAATTCTGTTTGCCCCTTGCCCATTGCCCTAGTGATTTAGGGTGCAGGGTTGGGCCCGCCGGTGTGGGCCCGGCTAACACAAGGACCGAGCATTTGCCAGTAGCTGCGCCTCCCTCTCCATCTTCGCTCCCCACCCCCACCCCCCCAATTGAGTAACAGAAGTGTCCACGGCCAACACTCTCCCAAGCAGTGTCTAAGGCCAGCACTTCCCACACACCACACACAACCCACTCACACTCGCATTACCCACCAATTTGTGAAATGAGATCGAAGCTTCCGCATGTGCTGACTAGTGCAGCGAGGCCTCAAAGGTGTGGATTGGTTTCTGTTTTTTATTTTTTTTCGGGGGGCGGGAAGGAATTGGATTGGTTTGTCTTGTACTGGGCTGCATGTCCGAAATTGATTAAAAATAAGATACAATTTTGCGAAGTTAGATCAGGTCTCGGGTCTTCTTACTTGCTTTAGGACCTTTTTTTGTTTCAGTCATCTTAAATTGTAGATCAGAAATTAGTTTGGGCCTTTAAGCTAAAAAAATAAATAAATTATTACCACTAAAGTTACTAAACTAAAAATATATATATTTATTTAGTATTTTTAGTATTTTTACCATTTTTTTAGTGTTTTATGGTTTAGTGTGTGCTACTGATATATGTGTATGATTTGTTTTTCAATCTTGGTGGCTGCGTAGCACGCCGAACGTGTTCGTACCCCCTCACGTTCGCACGAACAGCTCGCGAACATGTTCGGGGGCGAACGTACGTTTTTTCCTGTTACAAAAAATATATAAACTCCGACGAAACAGTTTGCCACGGCCCCTCGTTTGTTGTCCTCTTCTCCCTCTCTGCCTACGGTTTACCGGGCAGCTCTGTTTGACTATATATATATATACTTTTTCGGGTTTTGATTTTTAACTCATGATTAGCTACGAATTTGAACATGACTCCAAGGCAAAAGTTGCTTGTATTGTTGTTTTACATAACATATATTTTTTTCAGATTTTTCTGAGTTTTCTCTAATACCCTAAAGGAAAAGGTGGGTCTCGCGTGACGGGCCCACGCGAGACACCGCTCCCAGTGCCAAGGGAAACCACAGGAGGGAGGGAACAGGGCAGCGGAACCGGCGTGGGGACGAGGCCGAGGCGGGGGCCAGTGGAACTGGTGCAGGGGCGAACAGCGAAAGTGGATGCGAAACGGCGCGGGCCCGCGGGCAAAACCGGCAGCAGGGGGGGGGCGGGG